GTGAGAGAGAAGAGGAGAGAGAGAGAGAGAGAGAGAGAGAGAAGGAGAGAGAGAGAGGAGAAAGAGGAGGAGAAGTGTTGAGATGTGACACCGTAAGAGGTACCTGAGAGCTGGACCAGTACTCAGATTCTGTAAAACCGGTTATGTTACACCCATTAAGAATGTAACCGAAAAAAACTCAATTGAAGGCACAGCTGGTATAAGGACAAACACTGTGGAAAGAAATTCCTGCAAAAGCCTTACTGAAACATTCTATCTAATATAAGCTGCACAAAAGAAATGCTGGTAAAGCTATTTTACTAAATATGGAAAAGGTATATATTATACTGATATGCACAGGCTAAAGATTCTCTTTTGAGCTTGAAATGATAACGTTAACTCTTTCCATCACTGCCTGTCTGTCTGTCTGTCTGTATGTCTGTCTGTCTGTCTGTCTGTCTTTCTGTCTGTTTGTCATGAATACTGATATGACCGCCACTCTATGCTGTCCATGCAAACTTAGCTAGCAGTAAAGTTTGCACTTGATGGGTCACGCCATTACACCCAAATGAAAGGAAAAGCATCAGTCGTGATAATATGGTGATATACGTGCAGCACCACCCCTCCCCCCCCCCAACCTAGCTCACTCCTTCCCCCTTTGTCCTTTATTTGACTCAAATTGAATCAAAAGGTGCTCTGCATTATGAACAGGAAATACGCCAGAGTGCACTATCTAGGATATTATAACACAAATCTATGGGTGAATCTTTGTGCTTTTGAGGCTAGAGAGGTGAGCAGAGGAATCCTGATTCCCCATTCGGACTTCTCTGTTGACACCCACCCCTTGGCGCTCATATGACCTTATGCAGTTCCGAGCGCCGTGAAAACTTACTAAAACTAACAAACTAACACGTTTTGAGAATTTCACCGACGATACATTTTTCTCCCTTCTGCTAGTCTCGTGCCACGGGACGTTTGGTGTCGTCTGCACAGCCTCTCGGGGAAAGGAAGACCGAACGTTCTTTGTCATCCCGGGCACAAGTAGGTAAACATTGTGTCCTGTCTGATGACGTCACCACCCGGGGTGGAGAGGAGAAGGACCCGTGGACTGAGTGGGGCAACATGTACACACGTACAGACACACACACACGTACACACACTTACACGCACACACGTACACACAAACACACGTACACACATACACACGAACACACAAACACACGTGCACACATAAACACGTACACACACACACGCGCGCGCGCACACTCACACAC